GGAGGCTGAGGGGAGACCCAATCGCCCTCTACAGCTACCTGATGGGAGGTTGCAGAGAGGTGGGGGTTGGTCTGTCTCTTCTCCCACGTAACAAGCGACAGGACAAGAAGAACTGGCCTCAAGTTGTGCCAGGGGGGATATGAGGAAAAATGTCTTCACAGAAAGGGCTGTCAGGCACTGAATGGGCTGCCCAGGGAAGCGGTGGACTCACCATCCCTGGGGGGATTTAAGAGACACGTAGATGTGGCGGTCAGGGACATGGTTTAGTGGTGGGCTCAATCTCAAGGGTCTGTCCCAGTCTATAAACAGTTCTAGTATGTAAATATTGCAGCTGAAGGCTCCTGAACTAGTCAGTAACACAACGAACTACCACGAGGTGTACGACAGCCGAAAGGAGACAGCTCTGGAGGAGGGAACAGAGCTCAGGGCCTGCTGGGGGCTTCAGGCAGCCTCTAACTATTTCAGCTTATCAGGAAGTGTTTTGGCAGTCGTTTGCCTCAAGTCACTGCTGAGTCTGATCTTGCACAAGAATAAATCAGAATGATTGAAGTGAACAGAAACAGGTATAAGAGAGAGGGGGAGTGTTAATCTTTCTTAAACAACTGCCAACATTCCTAGAGCTTCTCATTTTAAGTAGAAATAAGAGAGAAAATGCAACCGATAAAAGCAACTGGAATTAAACATGAAAGCTAGGCAAGTTATCAGTCACTCATGCACAAGTAAGGCTGAAACGGGTGAAAAGGACCACGGTGCAAAGCTTTGGAAGTAAACCCCGCTGCTAGGTTCTGTGCTATGTAATTTCCAAATTCTAACAGGATATAACAGCATCAGGGGCTTCTCAAAACCCCCCAGAAACACAGGTTTCTCCTGGCAACCGAAGGGCTAGGTACGCACACAGCTTGTGACAAAAAGCCGAAGTTCAGTTTTGCCCCAGCTCCTCTTCGACAGTGCCAGATCCTTAACGCCATGTACACCGCAAGGCTTGTTCTTCCTGGGAGAGGGGACAAAGTCCTCTGCTCCCTTAACAGGGGCAATTTTTATGGCTAAGATAAATCTACTTCCATTTGTAGCGTAGCTGAGGCTGCTGTAGGTGCTTTTCTCCAATCTCATCTCAAGCAGTCGAGTTCTGCAATGTTGCCAATTGCAAAGAAATCTTCAAGCAGCTGATTCAAGCAAGTACACTTCCTCGTTCATTCCTTCTTGTGAACATCTGGTTACTGAAAGCCAGTTTTCCCTCAGCATCAAGGACTTGGGGGTACTGGTGGATGAAAAGCTGGACATGAGCCGGCAGTGTGCGCTGGCAGCCCAGAAAGCCAACCGTATCCTGGGCTGTATCCGGAGAGGTGTGGCCAGCAGGTCGAGGAAGGGGATTCTGCCCCTGTACTCTGCTCCTGTGAGACCCCACCTGGAGTGCTGCGTCCAGCTGTGGAGCCCTCAGCATCAGAAGGATATAGACGGGTTGGAGCGAGTCCAGAAGAGGCCATGAAGATGCTCAGAGGGCTGGAGCGCCTCTGCTATGGGGACAGGCTGAGAGAGTTGGGCTTGTTCCGCCTGGAGAAGAGAAGGCTCCGGGGGGACCTTATTGCAGCTTTCCAGTACCTGAAGGGGTCTACAAGGAAGCTGGGGGGGGCTTTTTACAAGGGCCTTAGTGACAGGACAAGGGGTAACGGGCTTAAAGTGAAAGTGGGGAGGTTTAGATTAGATATCAGGAAGAAGCTCTTCCCGGAGAGGGTGGTGAGGCACTGGAACAGGTTGCCCAGAGAAGCTGTGGATGCCCCATCCCTGGATGTCTTCAAGGCCAGGCTGGATGAGGCTTTGAGCAACCTGGTCTAGTGGAAGGTGTCCCTGCCCATGGCAGGGGGGTTGGAACTAGATGGTCTTTAAGGTCCCTTCCAACCCAAACCATTCTGTGATTCTACGATCAATGCAACTCAGTCCTATTGTTCTGCTGTCACACCCCACCAGTTTCTAACTTCAGCTGACACAGCAAGTGTGGGTTTTATAAACACAAACATCATACACTGAACAGCCAATAGCTGGAAGTACGTAAATGGAGCACTCTCCTAAGGATTCAGAGTTGAAGCAAGCGTGCTGCATTGCTTACGATGCTCCCGAGCATAAAAACAAGATTTGACACTGGCAACTGAAGCTGTGAACCCTTACTGGCTGCCCCTTGCCCCAGATACAAACAAAAGGTCCCACACGGTTTTTAAAGTTTATTTCATCTCAGAACCACTGCTGTGTTACACCTGTCAGGCTGGAGTGTGCGCACTTCCAGTGTTAAGGTTTTGTCATACAAACGGGTGGCGTGAGGATCTGTGTCCTCCCAGTACTGGCCCAGTGAGACAAGAGTTTTGCAGTCATTTCCTGCTTCCCCCTCCCCCCCTTTTTTTTTTTTAAGATACATGAAGCGTGGCCTAGCATTAGTGTCACCTTTTTATCTGCAATTTATATAAATGAGGCAGATTCTTCCCTCACTTGTAGGCAAAGTGACATGAAAAGTCTGTACTTCAACCAATGAACAAACACAGGGTTTTGTTTCATACTGTTACAACCCTTTCACTGGAGGCAAAACGTCCCTCCCCTGCCCCAGACCACCACCGTAATAAGTACCAAAGCATTTCTAGTTTTGACTTTCATCAAGGTTTCCAAACTGGCAGATTTTATTTTCACACCCTCTTCACAATAGACAAGATGCTTACCATATATTTAGGATTACAAGTTGTCACTAAAAGAAAACCTTACACAACCACTGTACATTTAGGTTGAAAAAACTGTCCTTGCATGAAAAAAATATACCTAGAAATCAAGTGGTAAATAAGAAAAAAAAAACCATTAAGAAAAGATCAACGTTATTATAATGCGCCGGTTTAAATTTATCAACTCCTCCTCTACTTGTCATTCATAGTCTGTTTTTACCTACGGTATTCATTAAGGCAAACAGCTGATCCATTTCTGAAGAGGTGCTGTGGAAATTGTGGACAAACAGCAAACATTTGGCATTAAAATAGATAGCACGTATGTAGCCTCTAGTAATATACATTAAGCATTTCTCTCGGACTTCAGGATAATGACAGGGGAGGATGAACATGCTAACAATGTCAAAAAGGCTTAAAATTTAGCATCCAAGCAATTTCTATTAATGCTTCTGTAGTTTTCAAGCTCTAAGTAGTATAGAATTTATGCAAATGCATTAAAGAATTCTAGCTTGGCAAGTACACCCAAGCAGGTTATTAAACTATATATACAGAAAGTGATAAATACAGAATTAAAAGAGTCCTTCCGCTTCTCTTCATAGCCTTGAAAATTGACAAAAAACTTGAGGACAGCTCTACAATATTAAACATTAGGTAACCGCAGGAGCTGGGGAACCTAACTACACAAACTGATTAAAATACTCAGATGACTTTGTAGTGTTTAATACAATTCAGTTCGTAGTCAAGGGCACAAGACGACATTGAACAAAAATAATCACATCAATTGACCTAGAAATCAAATGTAAATAGATATGAATACAATCTCCAAAATCTGTCTTTAAGTGAACATTAACCATTTATTCAAAGTTATACAAGAATTTGAAGGAGAAAGTCTTCTTCTGCAACAGGAAACCAACTTACAAGTTTCATGTCTCAGTTGAATTGAAGTGGAGGCGAGCGGGGCAGGATGGGGAAGGGGGGCGGGGGGAAGGGAAGGGGTGAACAAACAAGTTAGTAGGCCCCATCCAGGCAGCTAGAAAGTAAAAACAGGCTCAACAGCAGCCTCCTCCAGCTTGTTGTCCTCCCTGATTGCCTGCAAGTGTTGCGTTAGTAGCCGCATGTTGAGGGCCAATTTTTATGCCATTTGCCTGCAAGGAAGTTTAATAGGCAGCGTAATTATTTTGGAACACCGATACGCTTGCAAGCTTTTTTTAAGATCATACAGCGAGTTCTGCTAACGTATGCAACAGAGACAGCAAAAAACTTACACGTATGTTTTTCAGCAGCATGTCCTTGGCAATTAAGTACCATTTCAAGGAAGGTACTTTGTTTTTGTTTAGATTTTACCTCCACGTTAAACTCTGTCCCTCACGGAGCAAGGATTGCGTTTCAACACCGCCGGGCATACACCCTTAAAAATCCACGGCGTTTGCTAAGAACGTATAGCCTCTCCCCAAAAACTCCGTTAGTTTAATATAAAGCTTTCCCTCTCCAGACAGCGTTTCTTTCTGTGTTGAATCAGCTGTAGAGGCTAAGGGCGTACGAGCGTTCTGTGTCATCAATAATTTCTACGATCCCGAAAGACGTGGCGGCTTGCCAAGAACCCACACGCAGCGTAGCTCTTTCATTCATCAAAATCACGCTTACATCTTAACCCTCACTCCCTCAAGTGGATTTTACCTAAAAATACAGCACTCGGAGAAAAGTAATACAGTAGCTTCAGACATTAAGCTCTTAAGGAAACTTTGCGTCACAGTAAATCTCAGATTTATAGCGCTTGGCAGTTGCTCTGCAACAGTGGTAGCCTTGGGGTTTCTGGCACTAGCTCAGTATTGACAGCAGCTGATGTGGTTTCTTTTCGCTCTTTGACTCCTCTTTAATAAAAAGCATGCCCTATGGCTCATTGGTTTTGCCCCCTCTGGGCTGATAGCAACTTCTTGAGGAAGCAAGGAGCCAGGCTTGGCATAAAGCCACATAAATAGCACGGACTGCTGGCTCTCGACAGCATATTGCAATCAAAGCTCCATAAGGCGCAGTAAAGCAGTCAGCTACTCTGTGAGACTCGACAGAGAGAGCGAGCACGCTTTTGCGGGCGCTCCGATTCCCGTCCCATTGAGAGCATGCTACCCGAGCGCGTTTTCTTCAGGGAAAAAACCCTCAAGAAAATGTAAAATTTTGCATTAAACTGTATTTAGAAGGCATTTCACCGAAACACCGTAGAGACGCACGTGCATTTTTCAGTCAGAATTAGTCTTTGAAAAATCACTATTCAAGTCTTATTCAGCTACAAGTTTCCTAATGCAAATACTCCGCATGCTACTGAAGCTTGTCATCATTTCCTCTCTAAGCTCAAAGGAGCAACACTTTTAATAATCCAAATTTTCTCACGCTGAAATAAATAGCTTCACTTCCTTCTGCTTAATGTAATTGAGTCCTGCCAGCCCCCTCACTGCTCCCTGAACAGCTCTGCGAGGACCACCGCGCTTCAGAGCGGCGTCGGGCTGGCACTCCCCGGCAGAGAGCCCTGTTGGCGGGATGCGTACAGGACAGAGCGCGCACGGTGCAGATTTTCACATGTGGTTTCACTAAGCACCTCAGCGAGGCTATTTAGGGACATGCAGGATAAGAACTTGGGCATCAGAAAGGACTGACCCCTTCACATGGTCAAATTTAAGCTTTATCTGCTGTGACCTTTTTATGTGAATGCTGGACAGCTTATACAATCCTAACATTTCCATACGATCCTAGTGTTTCTCTTTACCAGCACTGAATCTGGGCCTGCTTTTTCTATGGCCAACAATTCTATTTGCTCAAGATTTTCAACAGCACAATTGTTTCAAAATTCAAGAGAGACATTACAGGTCTTTCTAGGCCCTTGCCTTACAAAAGCGCTCCATCCCCCACCCCCCTCCCCAAACAAGCGAAGAGACCGGCCCCGATAATCTGTAATTTCGGTAATGTGCATAGGCAAAATGGCTAATCTTTTATTCCCTCCAGAATCCAGCCACCTAAAGCAGGAACGTTTCAAAAGTCTTTTATGTAACTCTCAAAGCAATCCCTCCCCTACACTGGACAGCTCATGGAGTGCATCTGGCATATCAACATGGTCCCCCATTTACATAGTGGAAAATTATCTTTGAAAACAGATGACACCATATGGAGAAGTGGATGAAAGTGGATTTTCTTCTCTTTTGGGGATTTATATTATTTTGTGATGCTTCATGGATGGATAGGGTCACTTATTTTAATCCATTTTTATCACAATAGCAGACAATTCTATATCCAAATGGAACAAACAAATATTTTACTGCCCTGCCATCTAGGCAAAGTGAATTCTGTACCTTAAAAAAACCCAAGCAAACAAAGAACACATGTCCAGAGTACAAAAAGTTACCTCATTATTAATGTCAAAAACGCCTTCCTGGATTTTCTCGTAGATCTCCTTTGCAGTGTTAATAAATGCCTAAAATAGAGGAGAAAAAAAAACCACAAGCACAGTGAGTGCAATACCCTTTGCTGTAAGACGCACTAATTGAAATCCAACCCGACGTGCAGCTGTTTCAGCGAGACTTTTCTTCCTGACCTCAGAAGGAACAGGTATGACAACGGTGTCCTAACGCCTACCCTGCGGCAGCAATGGATCACACGCTGTTTACAGAAACAGCGGCATTTTCATAAACATCTGTATTCTCCAATCTGCTGTCCCATAATTACAGGGAAAAAGTGGGTTTTAAGATATATAAATTACTTTTAAATTATTTATTTCTGACCCTTATGGATAGATTGTGTGGCAGATGGTTTCCCCTACCCTTAATATCTTTGTAATAGGCCACTCTAGATTAGAGTGCTTAGCAACATAAAACCACAGGGTACTTACAATGATGATGTAAGGATGCTGTCTGCTAGATGAAACCTTATGCTATCATTTAATATTCACCTAATTTTAAGAACCTATTCTCTTTAATTAATCTTGTGCACAATAGGCAACACAGAAGAAAGGAGAGACCCCAGGTTTTATCAGGATTTCTGAAAATCTATTGTTTTAAATTCAGAGAAAAGACTGACATTTAGGTCTGAGAAAGTGAATGATATAAATGTTTTTGGTTCAAGTTTACAATCAATTATTCCATTCTTCATCTCTCGTTTAACTTTATAGGTCAAGTAATGCCTAAAATAATGCATAATTTAAGAGGTGATTAACAGCAGCTAACAATTACAATCAATACCTAACGTATTTCTTTTTGTTTTAAAATACTGACACCATGCAACCATACGAGAGCACCTTGTGCAGGAGACAGCATATTATAGCAAATACAGATCTAATTCAAATACAAAAAGGTAAACAGGGTTCACAGAGAGGAACAAATCATACCTTTCCTCATTTCTACACTGGAAGCATTTGACTGCTGAACTTGCCACCAGAGCTTTGTTTCCTAATTAACAGGACTGATATGTTTTCACCTTTAAAGGCCTTACAGCTCCCCAGAGTAATCAATCTACTGCAGCTCAATTACTGCACCAAGCACACACCACTGCCAGTGAAGGAGACTTGAACGACTGCGGCAGGAGCGGAAAGATATGAATATGCATAAAGTCTAAGTGGGTGATCGAATCATCACAGAGGGTCATGAGAATTTGCAGCAAAATAATGAGAAGAATTAATCATTGCAGATTCACAAGGCACTTAGGAAGTGAGTTCGTTTTTCAAACACGCGTTAGAGTTGAGGAGAAAAATTGGCTTTCAGCCAACTACCAATTGATTCAAATTCTTCAGAAATTGACGTTTTCAATGAAAGAAAAAAGTTATCTTGGTTTCTGATAACACACTAATTATTGTAACGACCTCATACATGGGCCTACTGAAAGGCGTCAGTCGGAACCTTTGGCAATTCACACAGCTGGAATCTGTGAGGATACTTGCTTCTATTTCAGTGGGACATTAAACAGAACTTGAAGTCTTAAAAATGTGTTATGATAATTTCATGTAAACAAGCACTTAAGAATTGGCACTTCTAACTATTCTACAAGATGTTGGCTAAGCACGCCTAGGCTCTCAGAATTAAATTCATGAGAATTACACTATGGAACTATAAAGATTACATTAGACCAACAGAACTCGACATTTAACAGACTGCAAACTAACACAACTGAGTACAAAAGTATCTGTGGGATTCTACACTCAAGAACAGACCACGGCAGGAACGCATCTACCCTCCCAAAAACCCCCAGTAAACCGCATCAGAAAACGGAGTGTGATTTAACAAGCCTCAATCCCTCCCACCCCTTCAACGTGGTTATTACACACGTACAGTACACAGAAAAAAGCACACCGCATTCAGCATAGTATTTGAAACACAGCGCCTAAGAAACCGTAGGTCTGAAAATTCAAAATACTCCATTCCCCTCAGTTCTATCGCTTCGGTTGTCCCGAAAAGGCATAATTGGACTACCACATTCCCATCAGCGATTCTGGTGTACCACACATTAGTGTGAAAACAACACGTGCCACTACTGTGCGCGGCAAAATGTCAGGCTGCACTGGGTCACGTATAAATCATTCCTATTTGAAAACAATGGTTTGTCAAGAATATAACATGTAATAAATCTACCTCAGGTTTTCTTCAGTTGGTATGAATCCTGAAAAATTACTACTGATCAGCCACGAAGAGACACTTGCTTCCCTTGAGACTTCCATTTGTTTCTTGCAGCCCCGTACTTTAAGTTAGCTTACGCTTCAAAGACGAAGCAGACTCAAGATAGCGACCTGAGAACTTTACTGAAAGCAGCAGCCTGCTCGCTTTAACAATGATTTTGGCACGGCACTGCAGGCTAGTGCTCCAATTAGCAAGGACAAGAAGGTGAACTCGGCGTAATTGACTTCTTCTAAAAATCTCTTCTAATACTGCATGTTCCGACCCTTATCTGGAACACGCAGTGTACTATAAACTCTCAATTATTTATGGGCAGTTTATCCTACTTGCAGATTAACTGAGCCGTGGATGCAGAAAGACAGAGCGGTTTCCCCTCAAATCCAGTTTGGATTTATTAGACCACGTGCAGGGGACTGCAAGAACACAGCTGTAGCGCTTCGCAGGCCAACTTGGATCCAGGTGCAGTTTAGCCACTTCCACACGACACAAGACCTCGACCAGTAAGCCCATACGGACTCGGCTGGCTGCCTACCAAGCCTACTGCTTTGCACTGCGCATTCCCCTAATGCTGCCGTTACTGAAACGCTGTACACGGATACTCCAGCACTTCCACCCCAAATCAGCTCAGGTCCAGGTTTATTTTCACCACCCCAGGAGAGGCAGTACCGGATTCACTCGCCACCTGAAAGATGGCAAGGTCCTAGTACGCAGGTACCTCCGTTACACACAAAAAGGGAAACGCAGCCGTTTGCAAAAATAGTATGTTAGACTTCCAAATCCAAAATTCTAGACTACATTTCAGGAAGATTGAAGAAAACAAATGTAACTTAAGGAAAATGTTTATATGCAATGTTTAACCCTTGGTTTTAATCTAAATCACGAGTTACTGATGCTTTTATGTACGAGACTACTGAACATATCTGTATCACAGCATTAAAAAAAAGGCTGTATTCAAGTTATTCAGTGATTTATTTAATGTAGCATGTTTTTTTCAATTATGTTGACATTCTAAGCAGGTCCTCAAGTCAGAGTAATACACCGCTGAGGAAAACCACATTACCGTGCAAGTGGGAAAGTGGGTCGTGTAAGATGGGATCTGCCTGTTGTCACACCTGCACCCACCGCCAAGCTAACAAAGGAGGGTTTGGGTCACAGCACACCGGTGCAGTATCACTTCAGGTGATTTGTGTAAGGCCCTTCCTTGATTATATTGCTACGTGGGA